TTCAGAAGTTTGAATTCTGAATATGACCAGACTTTTCCTTTAAAGCTGGCAGGTATGGATAGATTTAAACTGCTGTCCAGGATTTCCAAACATGTTCCCCACTTCAGTGACAAAGCAGAGAGAGGTTGTTTATTTGGCATTGAAAACAAAGAGCAGGAACAGCTTATCATCAATAATCTCAGTTAAAATTAGTGGACTTATGCCTCTCAATGGAAATCCCCAACATCTGTAAATAATAAAACAAATTCTCCTTCAAGCACATACATCATCATACATAAACTTTTTTTTTCCTTTTTCCCCCCCTTTTTTCTAGGAACCTTATTTGAAATTGTGAAATCTGTTGTTTTCTCTTATCTTTGCCCACGAAAACATTTATTACAGATAGTGTGGCACCGATGTCATTTTTTGGCCCTGATACCCGATACCTGGCTGTGAAGTATTGGCCGATACCAATACCATCTGTTTAAAATTGATGTGTGTATATATGAAGAACTTCATACTACTTGGATGTAAAATAATTACCATCATGGCTTTGACAAGCTGCTGCCTTCCTTTGTGAAGCAGGAAAATACAAAGTAAATCCAGTAGAACTTTTGATTGCCTACCTGGAATGGGGGCCAATAAGAAATAAACTTTTGGCGCTCAGAATGGTATCAGTGCTCTATTTGTTGGTACTCGCCGATACCGATACCACCATTTTAGAGCTGGATCGGGGCCCCGCCCGATACTGGTATCGGTATTGGTGCAACACTAATTACAAAACAACATTTTAAATTGCAGGCAAGAGGCCCCCTGGTAATGAGAGTCCATGTTTGTTTGTAGCTCACACAGCCTATGCTGTAACAGAAAAATAAAATATATATTTGGCTACTTGACACCTCTGTAAAGTCCATGTTTATGGTTCATACTTTGTATGATGGCATAAACATTAAAATATCTATTTTTTTGCATTTTGGTCTTAATTTATATCTGCTATTTTATTCTTATTTTTTGTTTATTTGAAAAAAAAAAAGGTCAGACGCTGTTAAAGTGTTTCGAAGGCGGAAGCTTCTACGTATTCCTGAGGAGCAGCTTCCTGAGCTTCGGCTTCCCTGATGTGTCCACGTTCATCACTCTCCTGCCACCAAACCGAAAGTCTGAGGTAATAATATCAGAACAAAGCAGATGAAATCCTGTTAGCTTCTTCTGAGACATTGAGCTTCCTTTTTGTCTTCAGCTTCTAAATAGCTTCAACACCTCAGAACTTAGTCAGTTCCTCAGTGAGCCTGGAGCGATCAATAATGGATCAGATATCTGCATCATCTTCAGCGTCTACAACAACACTGCCTCTTTCCTGGAAGCCGTACGTCTGCCTTCTCATCTTAGATGTCGAGCCTGTGTTTGTGATCCGTGTGTGATTGCATGAAGGTGTTCCCTACAGGAGGACATTCCAGATAATGTGAAGAGAAGCATCTTCCCTTGTTTGTGGGAGTTGGCCCTGAGCAGCAACAATAGATCTGAGGTGAACTTCTGGTTTGATCTCTGGTTAAGGGATTACTTTCAGTTCCTCAACAAGGACCTCATCAGCTCCATCGTGGTGCAGAACGCCTCATGTCTGGCTTTTGAGAAACTGTGAGTTTGTTTCTCAGAGAGAAAGAGCCATAAAACTAGACCTCGGCTCCAATCATGTCATCTTCCTCAGGGTGTCTTTCATGGGAAATAACTTCACATACAACAGCTCTGAGTTTGGACGGGAAGACGTTTACAGCAGCATCAGGAGCTACCTGAGAGCTGGTAAGTCTTTCGATTAAAAGTGGAAACCAATCCAAGAAAATGACAGATTTTTTCACAACAAGAGAGTAAAACCTGAATCCTGCTTCGCTCTGAGGTTCTGAAGCCAGATGCTACGACCCCACTGATCCAGAGCTGAACTCCACCTCCTGGTTTTTCAACTACATCGGCAGCTTTGTGGTGTTCATCACTTTGGATGATCTCACAAGCTTTGTCCCTACCTCTCAGGTATTCCCTTCTGGTTTCTGGAATATCATCAGTGTTGAAGTTTTATCAAAAGATTGGAAACATTTCAGGAAGATATAAATGTAAAGGTGCATAGTCAGATCATATGCCTTTAGAAAAAGACCAGAAAAAATGTTATCCTGAAAAAATAAGGTTTTATACACCAATCATCTGATATGATGGTGCTTAGATTCTTTTTTAGCCTAAAAAAGAATCTAAGCACCTGTTCTCCCAGAGTCCACACTTTCCTGTGTTCTTCTCAAGAACATACTTGGCAAGGACACAAGTCCGTACTGATGTTCTTGTGAATCGAGAAACAAAATTTCAACAATGAGCGGACATATATACAGGTGGCGCCATCTGCCGGCAGTACCCAGGAACTACCAGAAAGCAAGATGCAACAATTGGCACTATGCACAACTCAGCTACTTCCTGAACTTAAGGCAACGCTTTTGTTTCATGTTTTTTTTCCTGCTGTATTAACTGATCAATGTGTGTGGTCATTGTTACTGAGGTCCGGCACACCTTTTAATCAGTTTATCCAGTAATGAAAGACTGGAAACAAAAGAGCTGCCTTAAATTCAGGAAGCAGTGGAGTTGTACATAGAGCCCATTGACATACAGCAGCTATCTAATAGAGTCAAACCATACTGAAATCCCTCGCAGTTAAGCAACAGATCAGAGTGGTAAAAGAGCGAACAATGTTAGTTAAACAAACTGATATACAGCAACGCCACCTAATACGTCCTTCCCAGAGCCTCCTATCAGAACATCAAAGAAAAAGAAATTCCCCATCTCACCGAATGCAAATATGAACACAGCATCAAGTTGAAAAACAGCTAAATTTAAATAAAATTAAAAGTCAAACTAAAATCTTTTAATTGGAATTACAGCAGATTAAAAACTTTAAAACATACTTGCAGCATAGTATTAAACATAAACGTATATCTATAAACACCTGGATCAAAATGTCTGTGGTGTATAAGCTGTGCTTGTGAATGCAAGGTCTATGAGGCTTCTTAAGCAGGGGGAAATGTTCAATAGCAGGTGTCAGGGGCCTCAGACCCGCCCCAAACAACCCAGGGCTGAGGAAACCAGAGCCTTAGATATCCAAAGTCACCCCAGAGTACAGGGACAAAGGGATGGCAACACCCATTGGAGAGCCCCCGAAGCTAGACCCCAGAGGCTATGGGGCTGAAACCCACAAAAGCTTCAACCAGGAGCCCATTGGCTCTGCCAGGAGCGAGTCACGCCCAAGATAGACCCAGGTGTGAGTGTGGAGTTAGGAAGCTGAGACAGAGAAATTTCTTGCAAGAAAAAAATTTCAAATTTATTTACCGTCCTCAGATGGAGAGATAGAGCTCTTACTAGGCAACCTCAGTACATAGATTTATACCTTAAAAAATCCCAACACACACACTCCCCCCCCAGGGGAAACTGACCCACCCCCTGCATAAAGAACTTTCTGACACTTGAACTTTTAAGCAAAACAACTTGAGTTCATTGGGGTCAATCCCTGTTAGGTTAATATATCTTTCACTGACCATGGATCTTCTCAAAACAACAGTCCTCCCCTTCATGCCATGAAGGAGGCTGTGTGACTCATTCTTTTCGCTCATGACCTTAGTTTTGATCCTGTGAGGCTAAGAAGAGACATATCTCAAAATTTCTTACTACAATTGGGGCTGGGGACCTCCCAGGGGGGGCAGGTCCAGGCCACTGGCTGCAGACGATAAGATTGTACCAACCAATGCACAAAGACAACCACAATCCATTAACTCTGCAGTGAAATCTGAACACCTCTGCAGCTTTAGCTCCCCTTCTGGAAACAGCAATGCCCAAAAGGTTTTTCCAGCTACATTTGACTTGTTACCCATATGGAACCAAATTTAGTTTGTGCCTTTTTACACTGAATCATATTTTAACAATTTCCCAGCTGCCTTGTTTTTAACCCCTTGCATGTATCGTACCTCAGTCGTTATTGTAAATCCACACAGAGGGATTCATTAACACACATATACCAACATCAGAAAGACGTGCCACTTTTCAGAAAGATTTATAACTTATAAAAATGCCAGATAAGATGATTATGCCTATAACTAGCCTATAACTGAATAATAAGCAACAGCAATAAGACAGCTGACATTGTAATGCTCTGAAATCTGCTTCCTCTCATGTTTCTTTTTAAAGCTGAACATTTTTCTGGAGGATCAATTCAATCTGGACCTTTTCAGCAACATAGCCATCCCGGCTAATGTCACCAACTTCTACATCCAGCAGGTTTTTACGTTCAACCCGACCTTCAGCCCCATCAGGTGAGTAATTCTGTAGTCTACAGGGAAGCTCTTCATGTCAGCAAACTTTGTTATAAATGAAATTTAACAATTTGTCATTCTCAGGTTTCCAGGCATTTTTTTGTGCTCCTCGGACATCCCAAGCCCTTCATATTCTTCTCTAAATCAAAATGATACTGTTGTCATTTTGGACCGACTCGGCTTGTTCTGCAATGGCACAAACAACCCAGAGGTACTGCTGGGCTGACATTTTGGGTTTACCAGGATTAGTTCACTTAATTGCAGTTCAGATAAATACCAAAATGATAGTGTATTAATAAAAGATAATAATGGTGATAATAATCCTCCTATTCATCCATTTTCTCCTGCCTTGTCGGGGTCGCTACCAGGTGGGGCTGGTAGAATAGAATTAAACTTTATTGTCATTACATCGTCACAAGTACAGAGCAATGTAATGAACTTTCTGCATTCAACCAATCCCTTTTAGGGAGCAGTGGGCTAGTATTGTGCAGCATCCGGGAGGGTTAAGGGTGTGGGGGTTATGGGTCTTGCTCAGGGAGCCAGGATGGCTTTCCAAGGGAGCGGGACTTGAACTTAGAGTCTCTGGGATCCAAGTGCAAAGCCCTAACCATTAGGCCACCCTTCCGCCAATAGACCTTATCTCCGGCAGTCTATGGGCGAAAGGCAGGGTCCACCCTGGACAGCAAGTCTGTCACAGGGCAACATAGAGACACACAACCATTCACACACACAAACACACACACTCTCGCCTAAGAAGAATTAAGAGAAGCCAATTAACCTTACAGTCCTGTTTTTGGACTGTGGGAGGAAGCCAGAGTACCCAGAGAGAACCGATGCATGCACAGGGAGAACATGCAAACTCCATGCAGAAAGACAGTGGGCCATGAATCAAACCCAGAACCTTCTTGCTGCAAAGCAGTAGTACTACCCACTGCAACACCATGCAGCCCAGAGATATTAATAATAGTAATAATGTAGTCAGAGTTTAGGTTGACTTCTGTGAAATTAACAATAGATAATTCACTTGAAATAAAGTAACAGTTTTTTTTATATCTTAAGGATAAATAATCTTGCTGCTGGTAAATGTTCTTGGTGGTCCAGGTCATAGTCATTCCAAAAAAGTTAAAAAACAATAGATTTGTTTCTAAGCTTGAAGACATTTGAAGACGTCTTTAAGCTTGGACACAAAGTCCAATGGATTGTTTTTTGTTTTTTTTTGGAATAAATAATCATATTACCCCAGGAAATTGTCCTGCTAATCTGCTAAAATCAAATACAAATGCATGTATTTCAAGAACATCTGACTCACCATCATTTACATTTTTTCAGAGTAAACCAAGAAAACGTAGAGACAGTTATTGGTTATAGAATAAATAACCTTAACATTATAGGATAGTCCAAATCTATAACGAGGGCATTACAGGTATCTAAAGGTATTCTCAGATCTTCTAGGGAGGCCATGATGCATATTTCTGAGGGTATTGTTAAAGGTCTGTTTGTACTCCATACTTTGACAGTAAAAAATTCACAAACCTCCTTATTCTGCATTCAGGATTTGATGAAATCAGAACCTCTTTTTTGACTCTTGAGCTGTTTGATCTTCAGTTTGATTTTTGAACTGGTTTTAACTCCTTTGCCAGATCGCTGCTACTCTGGCAGCAAACATCCAAACTTTGACGCTGGATATATTCGGAAAGCTTGGGAATGCCTGTTCAGGTCTGTCCATCAGCCAGATCACCTCAGTGTCCCCATCAGTGCTGTTGGAGGCTTTGTCCACCCTGAGCTCGGTGACGGACTGGGCGCAGGACCAGGCTCGTATCATCCTCCAAAGATTGCTCAACTCAGACTTTAAGGTACAACTTAATTGAGAATTAATTTCCAAAATGGTTAAAACAGAAGGTTATTGATCTAAGTTCTACTGCTGTGCCAGATCAACTCTGCGGCTGCTCTGCAATCCCTCGGTACACTCGTTACCGGACTTGCTTCGGAGCTCCTCGATGGAATCCAAGTCTTAGATCTGCTCACCATCTCCACCAACGTTGATTTTATTTCCAACCTGCTGTCGGCCCCCAAGATCCTTCAGCTGACCTTCGTCAATAAGGTACAAGGTCCACTGATGCTAAATGTATCTCTCCTGTGGATGAACATTCGCTGAGGAGTGAAGGAGCTGTAACCATCTAGAATACTGACCCATAAAAATACAAACAAATACTTCCCGCTGTATTTACTTAAAATACAAAGTGAAGTGATTATTTTTAAATAAATGCAATTCAAGAATAACATCTTACTTATTTCAGTTCAGTTTTCACAACACGTCCTCTAAAGGCAATTTACAGTTCACCAGATCATCCAGTCAAATTAGTCCAAAGTTTTCTATCTTAGGAAAACCAGTTGATTGCATCGACTCATTGACTGGAAGGCAATCCCTCACACTAAGCATGCTTGTAGCGACAGTGGAGAGGAAAAACTCAGTTTTAACAGAATTGTAATTATTAAGTAGGGCATTTGAATATTTAATGCTTCATTATATAATTAAATGACATAATTAATATTTAAAAACATGTCAGATGAATGAATGAATGAATCAATCAATGCTTAATCTGCTTATTTTGTGGTTTATTTATTGATTTATTAGGACATTCACATGTATGTGTTTCATTATGGCCCTCCATATACCTCAGGAATCTCATCACCATGATTTTGAAAAACATCTCGTGACCCCTCTGGGGGTCCAGACCCCCAGTTTGAACAAAGAGTGTAAACAACAAAAAGTTTTATTGTATTGTTTTATTAAAGGATGACAACGTAAAAAAAAATATTAATTGATGATTTTACTGGAATTTGCCTTCTGGTTACTTAGGAAAGAAGGAGGATGGGATTGGTTCCCTCATTTTCCTAAACGTCTAGTGCTGATAGAAATGAATAAAGATGAAAATTTGGGGACTTATTGGTTAAGATTGAGGGTTTTTGCTCCCAAAACAGTTTGACAAAGAAAAGTCAAGAGCAGTAAAACCAAATTTTTTTCAGTTACCTCTCGAAATAAGTAATTTAGTCAGCTTACTTCCACCATGACACTGGGATTACATGGAGGTCCCCTTTTGGGAACCATGAGTTGAAACAGAACTGGAATCATTTGGGATTTGGGTTCTCCTTAATAAGACCAACCTCCTCTGGCTTTATACCTCATGTGTTGAGAACAGCAACCACTGCAGATATAAACTGCTGCATATAAATGTGAAGAAAGTCAGTGAATTATGGAGTGAAATTTGTCCCATTATTTTGCAAGCAAAAAAAAACTGGTTTCATAAATGGAAATTCGAAAATCTTGAAAGGAAACAATAACTTTAATAAAAAAAAGGTTTTGAGAATAATTCTGATGTTTAATTTTTTTTAAATTATTTAGTTTCATATATTTTTTTTTTTCAAATTTGTAAGTTTTTATGAATTGCGTTCATATTGGGCTTCAAGATAGCTAGATATTTATATGCGAATGGAAAGGCATGCAATTCATGAAACTAAATCTAAAAATGAGAAATTTAAAAAATGAAAGTTGAAAATATAAATTCATAAAAAATCTGAAAAAGTAAAGTTTAAACACATAACAGAAAAAAATAAGGGAAAAAATTTGAAAATAGTAATGGTTCAGTTAGAACCATTTTTGATAGACACGTTTTTTTTTTTTTCATGCATTTTGTCGACAGTTTCATTTACTAAATGTGTCCTTTGCTTGCAGCAATAATGTAACAGAATTGACTCCATACATGAGAAAGTTTGGTCTGCATTTGCTAAAAGCATTTGCCGAGTCATGGCTTAAAATCTCTTTAGTTGTGATGTATTACCTTTACCACGGTAACAATACAGTGTGTTGAATTATCCTCCAGATCATTTCTTTCGCCAAAGATCCAATCAGTCTGCTGACGAACGTCCCTGACCTCCTGGCCTTTGAGATTCCCTCCTCCCTGCTGGTTTTCCCTGAGGGGACCATCGACACCAAATTCCTCAATGCAAAAATATGGACGCCGGATCAGGTCAGGATCAATACCTGTTCTGATCTGAGATTACTTGTTTCAAGTTTTGGACTAAATGTTCCTATCTTGCTCTTTCAGGCGGTTTTAATCTTTAAGAATCTGGCTGTATCAACCCTGGATATCGAGCTGTAAGTCTATAGGTCCAGCGCATAGAAATGAGTCCATGACTTTGGCTCACATTAGTGATCCATCAATACTGTAGTTCACAAATTTATGTGGGGCGCTCCCTAGGGGTGGTGGTGTGTAATTACAGGGAGATGGGAGAAATAAATGGACTAAATGAGCAAGTATGATCATTGACTGAGCGGGGTCAGAAAATGAGGGCATCTACGGAGGGAATTTTGTTTAATTATTTTTGCAAGCATATAGCATTTTGTAAATTGAAATTGATAAAAGGAAAAAACACAATTTGTAAATTCAAATAAAGAGGAACCTGGAAAAAAAAACTGAAAAGAAAAATGTTCTCAGAGTAACTTTGCTTTTTTTTCCAGATGTTATTCAAAATAATGTTTTTTTTATTTAAAATTTTTTATTTGTTGAATTTTATTTTTTAACAAGTTTCATATTTTTTCAAAATTTATAAAAAAGTATATTTTAGACTTATGTTCAAATGTAATTTTTTAGATGTACATTTTAATTTTTTTTGTTACAGATTAAAGTTTTCTTTATTTTTCAAATGTCAGTTTTACATAAAATTAACAAAATAGAAAATATAAATCTGATAAAAAAAAATTAAACTTAAAATATTAAAAATAAATTTGAAAGAAATTGACAGAACAGCTTATGAAAAAAATAAGATGTATGTGAAGATAAATGCAAAGAAAATAATTCTCTGAAAGCAACAAAGTTACACATTTCAATTTTTTTCCTGATTAAAATGTCTTTCAGAGTTTCGTGATATTTTTTAAATATTTCCTAACCACATATATA